ACGCATTTTTGGTATCACCTGGCAGGACAAAGTTCCAAATAGAGTAGACCTAGAATGAGCTGGAATTTTTAGTATGTATACATTACTGAAATAGCGACGTCTACGTTGGCTTGGGCACGTCATAAGAATGGCTGATGGTTGGGTTCCAAAAGATCAACTGTATGGAGAATTAGTGCAGGGAAATTGCGCCAGAGAGAGACCATAGCTGCAATACAAGGACATCTCCAAGCGGGATCTGAAGGCCTTAGGAATGGACCTCAACAGATGGGAAACCCTGACATCTGAGTTTTCAGCCTGGAGGCAGGTGATGCATCACGCCTCTTCCAATTTGAAGAGAGCCTTGTCCAGCAGGCCGAGGCAAAAAGGCAGTCACGAAGCAGCAAAACCAGGGAGCTGGACAGGGAACAGATTGTATTTGTCTTCAGTATGGAAGGGATGGTCACTCTCGAATTGGCCTTCTCAGCCACACTAGACACTGTTCCAAGTCCTCCATACAGAGCATGTTACCCTAGTCTCTCACTAATGAAGGATTCCGAGTCTAAACTAGCACACAGTGGGACTCTCTAAATTTCCCTTTTTCATTTATATTTGTATGTCTTGTGTGAGGTCATATCAATTCCAACTTCTGGCAACCCTTTCCAGGGTTCTCAAAGTACAGAATACACAGAAGTGATTTCTCTTTCTTCATGGATAACCTATAGTTTAGAATTAGGAAATGTGTTCCACTTTTCCTTTAGATGTGGGGCATGGAATGCAATTAAATTTCAGAATGTTTAGAATGAATGTGTTTTTGCTTTTTTTCATGTGGTTACTGGGTTTCAACAGTTGAAATATAATAAGTAAATAAATCTGAGACAGTAACTTATTCTAGATTTATGTACATCTTCCAACAGAAAAAGCTGTTGTGCTTATCTGATGAGGTGCTGCTGATGTGCCATTAAAAACTTACTGGTATCTTGTCAAATATTTGAGCCAACTTACTCAGCTGGAATTTCAGGTTCCTGTAAACATTCAATTGGATGTTGACCACATATGTCTAGAAAATATTTTGCTTTCTCTGCTAGTTTCAGTCTCTGCTTGTCTTTCTATCCCATTTTTTTTTCTTTTTCCTTCAACCAGCTTCACCCATTCCTGCAAAGGTCGTCATTTAACAACTCAGAGGGAGAAACAGTGTCTTTTAATGAGAAAGGGAAAATAGGAGGTGGATTTGACATCATGAACGTGGTCATATTCCCCAATAACTCTTTCCATCAAGTGAAAATTGGAAGGGTGGTTCCCGGTGCTCTTGAAGGCGAAGAAGTTGTGATTGATTGGGATAGAATTGTGTGGCACCGAGGCTTTAACCAGGTATGGGTTGTGGGGGATCCTTCCCTAAGGAGATCATGTAGGTCACTGGTTCTTAACGTTGGGTTACTCAGGAGTTTTGGACTGCAACTCCCAGAAGCCTTCATCACCAGCTGTCCTGACTGGGGTTTCTGGGAGTTGCAGTTTGAAAGCATCCGAGTAACAAAGGTTAAGAACCACTGATGTAGGTGAATGAAGAAATTCCTGTCTTCTGTGGCTGGCACTTTTCTCCTATTAAAATAGAGGAAGAAACCGAGAACTATCTACAGTATTCTTGACTTGATTCTAACCAATAGAGATGACATAATGGAGGAAGGGGCAATAAGGGGAACTCTGTTCGAGAGTGATCATATTCTACTAGAAGCCTTGATTTCAAAGTAAGCCAAAGCAGAGTTAGCCACAGATAGACGCTGGATTTAAAATGAAGCCTTTCTTTCATTATCTGAGAATAGGGGTTAAGTAAGTTGCCATGGCAGGAGATCCTAAGAAGGGTGGGAAGTTCTGGAAAAAGAAATCCAAGGAGCAGAAGCAGTAACAATGCCAACAAGAAAAAAGATGGGAGGCTGCAAATTGGGGGGGGCTTCCCTAAGGAGGTCATGTTGGTGATTGAAGATTCCTTCTTCTCCAAGGAGGAGGAGAAGATGGGAGGCTGCAAAAAAGTTCAGTGTGGTTTCACAAAAAGCTTTGAAGACCTGAAAACAAAACAAAAAAAAAAACCACGACTTGTATAAAAAGCGGAAAGAATGTCAGGTCAACAAGGATGAGTACACAGAAGTAGCAAGGAAATCCCTATCAAAGTGATAACAAAATGTTTGCCTTATAAGAGTACCCAAAAGTAGCAAGGAAATCCCTGTCAAAGTGATAACAAAATGTTTGCCTTATATGTAATTCCTTCTATGCTTTTGATTCTATCCTTGAGAATACTGCTACTAATAGCTAGTTGGAAGCACCTGCAAGATATACTTTGATTTGTATTCCTTCATCAAACAAGGGGGTGAACTTGATGGCCTTATAGGACCCTTCGAACTTCACTATTCTCTGATTCTATGAAAGTTACTGCCCATTTTCTAAAACTAGATTAATTATTGACTTCCCATAAATTGTTTTTGTTGTTTATTCATTAAGTCGTGTCTGAGTCTTCCAGCAATCTTAATTCCAGTTTGGGATTCATCCAGTCCAGCCTTTCACATGATGTAATCTGCATATAAATTAAATAAGCAGGGAGACAATATACAGCCTTGTCGTACTCCTTTCCCAATTTTGAACCAATCAGTTGTTCTGTAGCCGGTTCTAACTGTTGCTTCCTGTCACACATATATACCTATTGCCAATCCTGTCCCATATATATCTATTCCCAATTTAAAAATAAGAATATTTTACCTTTTCTTCCCCTGTAGAACTGAACATTTATTATGCATGTCTTGAGTCTTGGTGATTTATGAAGGGATCCAGAGATGATTGATTCAAAAGAACCCAGTTGGCCAACTAGGTTTCTGTAGATATTTGACTAGGAGGACTATTCCAGATCTCCTTATGATGACCCTTCTCAACTCTGTCCTTTTTATGAACAGGTGGTTCCCATTTCGGTTTGCAACAAGTACTGCCATCCTGGCTTTCAGAAGAAAAGTAAGGAAGGCGAAAAGTTTTGTTGTTATGATTGTGTTCTATGCCCAGCAGGAAGGATTTCAAACCAGACAGGTAGATGTTCCAGTTTTCATTTAGTTTAATCTGTCATATAAAGAGAATTTAGGGTTTTTTTTTAAGGTCAAATTAAAAAATTAAGAAGAGTTCTCATGTTTGGTATGTTACTATAAAACTCTTCAACAACTACTGATGCAGTCAGAAAACCATATCTTCTTCTACATCTTTACACAGTGAAAACTGGATGATATAATCCTCAGGTGATTTATGCTATTGTTCCATTAATTCAGAGAGTGAGCAGTACTTGTAATACCACCACAACATGTACATCTGGACCATCAGCAGCAACTCAGCAATGATTTAGGGCCATTCAAAACACCTCTTTTCCCCACCCTATCTTGAAGTCCTCAAAGGCTCTCTATGGAAACATATTTGCACAGAGCTAAATAGCAGCTGGAAACTTGAAAATATATTGTAGGTGTCTAGGCTTCAATGCCATCTTATGTGCAAAAAAACAGCAATAGATGAAACAGTCCAGAGTAATCTTCCCTGACTTACATCAGTATAAGAAAAATGATGTCCCCTGCAGTGCTGAATTTCTGCTAATTAACATGTTGTGCAATTTTAAGCCCTCAGTGGTTCAACTAATCCTTACTGCGTGTGATTCAGATGTCTTCATCTAAAACCTGAAGCAGGGAACTGTTCCCTTAGCTGTAGTGGGGTCTCTACTTAAGAACTTAATCCGTATTGGAAGGTGGTTCTCAAGTTGAAAAGTTCTTATGTTGAATCTGCATTTCCCATAGGAATGCATTGAAAACCATTTAATCCGTATCTGCTCTTTTCCATCCATAGAAACTACAGTGGAACCTCTACTTAAGAACTTAATCCATTTTGGAATGGTGTTCTTAAGTTGAAACGTTCTTAAGTTGAAGCAAAATTTCCCATAGGAATGGACTGAAAACCAATTAATCCGTTCTGGCTGTTTTTTTTTGTTATTTAGAGGTGTGTTCGTACACACCTCTAAATAAGCTGGTTAATACGTACTCTACCACTAGGGGGAGAATTTTTTTTAACCTAAGATGACCTAAGGTTAAAAAAAGAGCAGGAAAGGTTTTTTTCCCTGTTCTTATCTTGGATTTCTGTTCTCAAGTAGAAGCAAAATTTAGCAAATGGAGCTGTTCTTAAGTTGGATTGTTCTGAAGTAGAGACGTTCTTAAGTAGAGACCCCACTGTAGTATTCATCTTCATGGAGCCTTCCTTCCTTCCCTCCTTCCTTCCTTCCTTCCCTCCTTCCCTCCTTCCTTCCTTCCTTCCCTCCCTCCCTCCCTCCTTCCTTCCTTCCTTCCTTCCTTCCTTCCTTCCTTCC